TCTTGCTCTGCATTCTCTTTGGGGGTTTTTCCCAAAGAGATCTTAGTGGGTCTGGACCACCATAAGAGCGCCCTCTGTCTTTTTTGACCTGCACCATGCCAAGGCTTGAGGCAGTGTGTTGAGTGGAATGGACTAAAAGGTTCTTAGGGATCATTGGGGTTTGGTGAGGAGGAAGGGTGTTAGGACTGGAATCAAGGAACTTTACCGTATTTGAATCTTGAGAGAACACAGATAAGGGATGTATATTGAAGATGCCCTTCCATTATTTTATAATAGGTGAAATGAATGACTTTGTGAGGCCCTCAAGCCTCACCTGACCTTTTTAGAAGACAGGGTCTCACTATGTAGACCAGGCTGGCCTTGAACACACAGACATCATCTCCCTCAGTCTTCCCAACTGCTGTGATGCGTCAGTCCCCCTCTCCATTCCCTGCTTGAACTGAACTTCTTGACCACTCTTGGCTCTCACCCACCAGATTGACAGGCCTGCGCTGCCTTCTCCATGCCCACCTGTCTAAACCCCAAGAGGAGCTGACCTCTGTGTTCTATGCCAGGGGTGCCCTTGACCTCCACCTCCCTGTTTGGATAGCCCAGTGGGCACTTCAGCCAGAGACGGAAGAGGCAGCCCCCTAAGCTTTTCTCCTCTTTGGAGTTGTGCTGCTGCAGGATGCCTGTTGCTTTCCTGTTGCTTTCCCACAGCAACATCCACAGCCTTTTAAGACCCCCTTGCTTGCCCTGGCTGAGCATGTCGCCTGTCTCTTCTGAACTTTTGGCAGATACTGCACATTTTAAGAAGAGAGACCTTGAAGGTCTCTTTATTTTCACACTGATGAAGGTCCTGACACACAGGTTAAGAAAGGAAGGTGTCAGCAAGGTAAATAAGTGAGAGAATCGGGTCAGGTTTCATTCACCTTCAGTGTTCACAAAAGGCCCCACCTTAGGCATTGGTCTGTTTTATGTTCCAAATAGAGGATTCTGCACAGAGTCACAGCCATAATCTTACAGAACAGAAACAAAAAGAGCACAGCAGATAATCACCCGTTCTGGTTCTTGTTAGTTTTATGTGTATGGATGATGTTTTGGGATCTTTAGAGAAAGGTTTGAGCCTTGCAGACCTATGATGCAGCTGTCTCTGCTCTGCAGGACCTCCGGTTGTGAGAACAGAATACATCACAGAAGTGGGGAGGTGAGAATCATGGGTGTGGAGACAGCCTTAGGTGATCCAGGAAGAAGGGTGTAATTGTGTGTGTGCATGTGTGTACCTGCACATGTGCATGAGCGCGTGCGCGCACACACACACACACACACACACACATGCATTCAGGGCTTTCAAAGTGTATAGCCTGAGAGATAGGGCAACTGGGCAGTCACATGAGAGAGAGGGGAAAAGAGTCTGTTTTAGTGTGTGGTGCTTTCATGCAAATTTGGGAAGAATTTGCAAGTTTTAGGTTCATGCTCCAAGCGCAGTCTCTGCGAACTATTTGTAGAGCAGGAAGAATTCAGTTCCTTCCTTTCCTCTTTCTTCTCCTCATTCTTTTCTTTTTTTTCTCCAGGAAGCTCCCTCTCTCTCCTCCCTTGAGTAAGGTGGGGAGCGGCCAAGACTATACAGTCCTGCTGCATACTATCTATAAAAAATGAGAAAAACTTCCACACTAAGAGGGACTATTTGGAAGTGCACTTCAGCTGTGTGTAGTGCACTCACCCTCTTGTGCAGCTCTTATCTCTTGTCGGTTCTCCACACTTGGAATTCCCACAAAGAAACCCCCAGGTTGAGCTTCCCTTTCCAGCTCCTGTGACCCCTTGCCTGTGTTCCGCTTCTGTGGATATTTTATATAAGTGAACTCGTACACTATGTGGGCTTGTGTGTCTGGCCTCTGTCATCATTTTAAGATCCAGCCATGTATCAGGAGTCAGTACCCATTCCTCTTTGTGGACCAGTGATTCTTCTGTTGTATGGCTGTGCTGTGGCCAGTGGTTCCACTTGCACTTTTGGTTGTGTAGATAGTACTTCTGCAACACCTTCATCTGCTCTCTGGTGACCCTTAAGCCCTAAGTCCTAGGTTGAACTCCCTGGGAAAGGAAGGGCTGGGGGAGGGGGAAGCTCCCAGTAGAAGGGAGCATGCCCGTGAAGTTTGCCCCTTATCTGTTCACACCTCAGGGCCTGCTTTCTGCCCAGAGGGAAGCAGCATGTCTTTCAGGCTCTCTTTTGTCTCCCTGAGCTGGGACAGGGCTAGTATCTGTAATCTTGGCTTGTGTAACCTGAACCACAGAATCCTTATATGTGGGTGGAGATTCTTATTTTTGTTGCCACCACAGCTACTTGGGCAGGCTGAGGACTCCGAAGGGGCCTGAGGAATGCTTACTTTTCCCTGTGGGGTGGAAACTGATGTGGGGCTGACTGAGGGAGAAGAGCCTCGGCTCCTCTCCTAGGAACAGCAGGAGCTGTGGTCCTCACCATGTCCAGACACTTTTTTCTACAGGTAACTTTGGTCTGCTGTTTTTGAGCCTGGGAATGTCAGTCTTCTATTATCTCAGCACCAGGCATAACCCGGCTTTTACTTCCTTCTGGAAGGATGACCTTTCTGTTGCTGGCATTTTAAAAGTATGTGTGAAGTGCCCACCTGGCCAGGTGTCTTGCAGATGATATTTACAAGTGTCTTCTTATCTGGTGTGTGGAAGAAGCTGGGGTGTGACTGGCCTGAACTGGGGTCCTGGCTGTGCACAGCATTGACCTGAACTGATCCTAGGAGAAGAGTAATGGGCCTTTCAGGATTTTTACTGTACAGTTGAAGGTTGAGGCAAATGTCAGTTTACCTCACTCTGTTGTGTGAAGAAGTGTGACTTTGCTATAGCAGACAGTGCAAAAGCAGGTAGCTGAGTGGTAAGTATTGGTGTAGTGGCACAGGGAGAGCAGAAACCCGGCCCAGCCTACCTCAGCACCAGGCACAGAGCATGCTCACTCTGCTTGTCTGTCTGTCTCTCCCTCCTTTCTTCCTTTCTTTCTTTTTATTATTATTTTTATTAAGATTAGAAAGGAACATGCTGATGTAATATCATTAATATAATTAATTTTTAAACCTTCACTGATTCCTAGTGTATTTCTCCTCACTTTAGGTGGCAGAGTTGGTGGTTATACACAGGTCCTCTGTAATTGAGCACCAGACTTCAAATCCAGGCCCTGCCACTCACCTTTTTACTAATGAGTTGTTTGGAGCATTGAGTAATGTTGGAGAGCCGTTTAGAACATATCCAGTAGTCAGCACTTTGTGACTTGAACACACAGGGACTCAGCTGTCATTCCTTTTTCTTCAACATGTGATTTTACCTGTGCCAGTGACTTAAGGTACATAAGACCCAGACCTAGAAATTCCACACCCTGCTTTTGCATACATCCTTGTTTGACATCCCCTATCACATTGCTCCCAGGTCAGGTCTACCATTTGTCTGTCCCCGTAAGGCGCAGCTGCCTCTGTCCTTTTCTCTGGGATAACAAGGCTGTTGGCCTTGAAATTTCAGAGGAGGGCTTTGTAGGTGCTTCATGTTGGCATGTTGTGATAGTGCTCTCTGTATCAAGTTACTTTTAGACTTATCTTATTTCCCTTGCTTTCCAGCAAACAGTTGAAGGGCAGGATACAGGTCTTGGATGATTTCAGGTGGTCCTAAGATGAATGAATTCCAGGAGGGGCAAAAGCGTATAGATACCAAGGAGAAATGCACCATGGGCAGGTGCCAGGACTTGACTTTCCTAATGCGTGGAGGTTTTGTAGTTAAAGATTGTTTTTAAGTACTGGGCAAAATATGCTTGCTTTACTGTGCTAGCCATGAACTCCTCTATTTTCCTTCCTCTCCTGGAATCCATCACAGATACGTTGATTGACATATTGCGTGACTTGAGGGGCAGGAACTTGAAAGACAAGGCAGCGGGAAGTTTTGGGGGACCTTGGGAATGCCTTTCCTCCTCCTCAGCTTGCATGTTCTTTCCTGTGTTCAGCACCTGCAATATGAACTGTGTTCCTGCTCATGTGGAGGAGACAGTGGCGATGGAGGATGAGGGTGCTGAGTTTTCCTGTGGTTACTGAAGAGACTTCTGAATGGGTGACATCTTAGGCAGACCCTAGGAAAGAAGAAAGAAAGTTTTGTTGGCAGTGTGCTTTTGCAAGAGGGAATAAATATGTAAAGGTTCTAAGGAGGAAATTAGTTTCAAGAATGTGAATGTCACCAAGAGTAGAGAGCTTGCTGGGTAGTTAAGGCAGACTTTAATTCTAAGGATGGTGGTAAGTTGCAGGACATTTCTCTTCTTTTATTATTTTCTTTTTCACAATCACCATTCTTTGGAAATTTCAATTTCCAAAAGCATGTATTTAAGAAACAATGAAACATACAACTGCAAATTACATTATATGTTGGGGAAATGATTTATGACATGGATGATAATGAATATCACTAAAGGGACTTTCTCTACCCCAAACGGAAGATTGACGTCAACTAAATCGTATTTCACTCTTTCTCAAAGCGGCATACCAGATGATTTAAAAAAAAAAAAAAAAGATTGTCCTCAACTGACAGACTGAAGAAGGTGAAGGATCGAAGTCCACTGACTTTCCACTTCCAGCTTTACCCAGTCCTCTGGCCCTGGACTTGGTTGTGGGAAGAGCCTTTGGGCCCCATTTCCATTTGTTCTGGCTCAGACAAACTTGGCTTGTCTTTTGTGTCTGCCTCAGTTCATCTCACAGAGGCAGGAGGGAGCACTGGCTTTTGGAGCCCTGAGAAACACTGGGTTTATGAAGTCAGCAGCCTCATGGCTTCCATAAAACCCGGTTAATCCTGCGTCATTGGCTTGAGCTCTCCCTGTCTTTAAAGTCCCAGACACTCTGACTAGCCACCATCCTTCCACATATTCAAAGCCCACTCCCATTAACAGGTCCCCAGCTGCTCTGTTTCTGATTTGCATTTCCATGGCTGAGTGAATCTGCTGACTTCCTTTTTCTCTTCCATTACAGGTCCTGTGCACAGGTGCAGGTGCGGGTGAGTACCTCACTCCTTCCCATTCTTGTGCTGTTTGCTATTGTCCCCTAGTGGTCATAATGCTACATTAGTGGCAAATGTGGGGGACGAATCACAGAAAACTGTGTTAAAATCCACTTACTTTCTGTTTTTGCTTAGAAGCCACGTGAAAGTAGAAGCAGCAAGTGAAAAGAGTTCCTTAAACCACAGCTATAAAAGTTCTGTGTTTTCTAAGCTATGTTCCAACTCCTTGGGAGACTTTGTTCGGCCGGAGGTCTCTTGAGCTGGAGAGTTTGAGAGAAGCCTGGAGGACACAGTGAAACCACGTTCATAAAAAATTGGGCTTTCTATGATTTTCTTTTGCCAGTCTATCCCCATGGATGAGAGAAATGAATTAAAATTGCAGTAGTTATTTTTCTATTGCATGTGCTGTTATTCTGCAAGCACTTCTTTTGTGTTACTGTTTTACTACCTTTAAAATATGGTGTTGTGGAATTTTAAAATCTCTTCAGAAGCAGAGACAGCCTCCTCTGGTTTTGAGTATCAGCCTGGGGATGGGGCTGTAGCCCACGGCTGGGTACTTTTTCAGCATGTATGGAGTTCAGGGCTCCATCCTTAGAACAGTTAAGTACAACAGAATCCCTTCCCCGAGTCCCAGTGTGGTGTGGAGGACCAAGCTCCAGCCATGGCTAGGTGCTTTCTTTGCTTGCTCTATAGGAAGACAAGATAAATATGATGCTTTTCTGATGATCTAGTAATGATGGTTTTTATAGCTAAATGCATCCATCTGAAAGCGGTTCTGGGATCAAATCATTACTGTTGGGGTTGGAAAGATGGTTAAGAAACTGTCTGCTCTTCCAGAGGACCTGGGTTCAATTCCCAGCACCCACATGAACCTCATAACTGCCTGTAATTTCAGTTTCAAGGAATCTGACAACTTCACACAGACATATATGTAGGCAAAACAAGAATGCACATGAAATTAAAGTAAATAAATTATTTTAAAAAAGACCTTACTGTTTCTGTAGAAGGATAATAGTAGTTAGTATTATAAAAATACATATTCTTTTGGAAAAAATTGGTAGCTTTTGTTTGTCTCTAAAATTCAGGAACATTCTTTCACCTTTTACTGGGAAAAAATAATCCTAAATCCTAGGGTTCATTGAGATAAAATGATCAGATTGGTCTCAAAAAATAATCCTAGATCCTAGGGTTCATTGAGATAAAATGATCAGATTGCTCTCAGCGCTACGCAGAGTGAACCTTCTACTAAGGCGAATCTTCGCTAACAGTAGGAATTATGCAGAGGTTTTACAAATAATGGGGAACCCACACAGGAGGCATCTTTTCCGTGAATCAGTCTACAGATAAGCTAGTAGGAGCTGGAGCCACTGGTCTGTAGAATCTGACCCTCCAGTACAGCCCAGCTTAGAGGGTGGAGTGTAGGGAGCAATCCCCAGAGCTCTTCCAAGCCAGATGTCTTTCCCTGGGTCCACCGAAGGGCTCTGTGTTAGTCTGCTAGGGCTGCCATCATGATCACTGTACATATTTTATTTTCTTATAATTGAGGAGTTTCTCTTTGCACACAGGCAGCTGCTTTCTCCTGTGTCATCATGGGACTCCTCCAGTCCCTGTGCCTGTATACTAATGTGCTCTTCTTAAAAGTTTAGCAAGCTTTCTTGTCGGACTGTCTTTGGATCACCAGCCTGCAAATAATGACCTGAAGACTTATTATTAATTATGAAAGCTTGGCCTTAGCTTAGACTTTTTCCCAACCAGCTCTTATAACTTAATTAACCTTTTTCTTTTCTTTCTTTCTTTCTTTCTTTCTTTCTTTCTTTCTTTCTTTCTCTCTCTCTCTCTCTCTCTCTCTCTCTCTCTCTCTCTCTCTTTCTTTCTTTCTTTAAATCTATGTTCTGCCACATGGCTTGGTTACCTCTTGTTAGTGTTGCACGTTTGACTGAGTCTGCTGCTGGCGAAGTCTCCCATCTGACATCTGAGGAGAAGTCTCCTCCTCGTCCTCCTCCTCGCTCTCTCCCTCCCTCCTTCCCTCCCTGGAAGTCCTGTTTATTTTCTCCGGCCTAGCTACTGACCATTCAGCTTTTTATTAAACCTACCAGAAGGCGCCTTAGGCAGAGACACATCTTCACAGTGCATACAAATATTTTGTAACATATGAGGGCATCCGTTTTATTGCAAGAGGCCACACCCTTATGACCTGTCTTGAACTTAACCCCTTGATACACACTGTCTTGCAAGCACACACATATTTGGAGGCACTGATGTTTAATATTTTAATGTATGGTTTTTGGGGATGATACAGTTTAGCCCATAACATACAAGATTTAGGCTCAGCCTCCAGAATTGATTTCTGGATTAAGGTTGTAGACCCGACCCATCTGTAGAGTCGCTGTGACAGGCAGCAGGGTGAGTAATTGAGAAGATGTTTTCACCACATTCAGAATATATAGTTGGGATTTATAGTGTTGTGAAAAGACATCATGACCACAGCAATTCTTACAAAGGAAACATTTAAGTGAGGGGCTGCCTTACAGTTCAAAGGTTCCGTCCATTACCATGATTACAGGGAGCATGGTAGCGTGCAGGAAGACATGGTGCTGGCTACATTTTGACTAGAAGGCAGTAGTAGAAAGCTGACTGACTGTCACACTGAGTTGAACTTGAGAAAAAGACCTCAAGGTCCACCCCCACAGCGACACACTTCCTCCTACAAGACCGCACCTGCTCCAACAAGGCTGCACCTCCTAATAGTGCTGCTTCCTTTGGGGGACATTTTCTTTCAAACCACCACAGAGGATGTGATGGTTGTGTAACCCCAGCTTGACTACGCACACTCCTGAAGTAAGGATGAAGGACTGAGTTCCAATTATAATGTGTACCAAGGAGACCTAAGAGACACATCCAGGTATTTTCTCCATTGACTGCAAATACACAGTTTTCTACACTAGAGATTGAGCACTGTCTGGGATAGACCTATGCTAGGCTACAAAATATATCTTACAAGTTTAAGAATTCTGAGAGCTCTGCAAGTATTTTTCAAAATCAAGGAAAACTAGAAATAAGTTAATAAGGACTTTGGGAACTTTATAGATGTTTGGAAATTAGCAACACACGTTCAGATAAGCAACAGTGCAAGAAAAAAGGAATTAAAACATTTGAGAAAAAATGGAAAGACTATATTTCAAAACACACAGGATATGACAAAAACATGTCCTAAGAGGGAGGTTTATATTAATGAATGGTTTTGTTAATTCCTCCATAAAAGATTAGAAACCCAATTCAGCAACACATTGAAGACTGTTCATTGTGATCAAGTGAGATTCATCTCAGGGATTTAAGAATGGTTCAGCATATGCAAGCAGTGTACCTGATATATTGGATTAATAGAATAGACAAAAGCCACAGTATTATTTCAATAAATGGAGAGGAAACATTTAGCAAAATTTGAAAAAGCTGTACTTTCTACCCCATGACTATTGAAATGTAGACATCTATTTCCCCATGTTGCTCAGATTCTCTGTATGAAGGAAAACAATTCGGTTCTTAGCATGTCTTTTTGCTACTGAAAATGGCGCTGTAGCTGTGCTCTTGCAGGTGAGCTGAGAAAGTGGGCTGATAGCGTGTCCGGGAATTGCTGCCGGGTGCTGCCGATTTACTTCCTCCTCTGCTGTAGTTGTTGCCACTTTGTTCTCATCCCCATTATCATTGATTGCAGTGGCAGCACCCAGTGCTAATGTGAACTTTGTAGAGAAAACTCATGCCTGAAGGGGCCTCAGAAGATTATCCCTCCAGTGTTTCATTTCTCTTTCTCTTCCTGTCCTTTCTATAAACTGGATAACTTTGCACCTGCCCCGAGGTGAGGCACACCATCCCACTCATGCTGAGGTGTTACCTGTGGTTTCCCCAACACCTTAAGATTGAGGCTTTACCTTGTGTTTTGCTGTTCCTGGGCACTGTTCTTCAATCTTGGACTTAACCAGGGTGCATGCACTTGATAGTGTTACTGTGAGTAACCATGTGGCTTCCATTGGTTTGGGATTTGCAAACCTGGCATTGGACCGAGGATGGAACTGATAGCCTGAGAGTTGAGATGACTTTGAATAGAATTATATGACCAGGGGCTTTAATGTCTTGTCTGTTTTATCATGGTGGCTTACTAACCCTTCAGAGTTAAGATGGAGTAGTTTTAAGAGGATCACTCCAAGTCACTCAGTTAGTTGGTAGAATAGGCAGTTTCCCAGACTCATTTTGCATCTTAGATCTCTCTGTCTCAGCTAATGTCAAAATTTAAATCTATGTTAAACTCATAGCCAACGTGGCTAGTTTCTATTTGTTTTGTCTTCAGTTTAGGGACATATTCTCGTGCATGAGCACATGTGTACTTAGATGTATTTTATTTCAAAGAGGCAATGAAGAGAAATAAAATTGAATTCTGAAAGGTAGACATACAAGGTAGGCTTTATTCTTATATTAATTACATGTAATTAATCTCTCTCTCTCTTCTATATTTAATTAGCTCCGAGCCCTGTGTTTGGCATTGAAGCTGTTTCCAGTCCAACCAGCGTGGAATTAACATGGAAGCACAACGATTCAGCGGTTTCAGAGTACACTTACAGAATAGAGAATAAGATGGAAAAGAATCTGACGTTTACTACTGATAAAAACCCAACGTCATATAACATCACAGGCTTAAGTCCAGCTACTTCCTATACATTCTCCATCACTCCAGTAGCAGCCAATCAGACCTTTGGAGACCCCACGGACAAAAATGTCACAACAGGTAAGGGACAAGGAACATAGCTGGTGGCTATACTAGCAGTAACATGGGAAGGGGAGGAAAATGTCTTTATTCACGTTAGAGTCCTCAGGAAAGGGTTCTGTGGACGAGATCACATCAGACCCTGTGTGTGACAAACATTATTTTGTCCTCATAAACCCTGAGACTGAAGGTGAGAACTGTGGTGTGGAGGAGTCAAGTTTCTTCTAAGGTTCCTTAATACAGGATAGTAAGCAACTGAATTGGAACCCGGAGAGCCTGATTCTAGCTGTCAGAGTACCATGGGATCCAGACAGCCACCAACATAATTAAATTGTCTAGTTTATTGGTGTTTAATTCTTTAATAATAAAAGACAGAGAATGGAGGTTGTAGCTCAGTGGTATTAGTGTTTGGATCCTCGGCACCCACGTGGTACGTGCTGGGTGGGCACGGAGGCCTCCATGTCATCCCCTACAACACCAAGCAGCCCACAGTGACCTGATTTAGAAATCTTTGCATCTGAGATATCTAATGTGAGAGGTCAGATAAAAAACTGATCAGTCACCTCATGCCACAGCTGGAAGCTGCCTTAGCAGTGCTTGGGCTGGATCTTCGCAGTCAGCCCCCTGAGACTTCAGGCAGGGCACTTCTCTTTAACACCATCACTTTTGCCTTATCTGCTTCTCTGCATTCTGGTCTCTCCACCAAGCACAGCAGCAGTGTGTGCTCTTGAGCACGGCGTCCTGCCCCTCTTCTGTCGCTAAGTAAAGGGAGCAGTGCCGGGTGTCAGGGGACGCTTCTAGTTCTGGTGCTCATGAGGCAGTGGTGAGAAGGCTGTTGCACATTTAAGCCCAACTTGGGCTACATGGTGAAACCAACTAATCAAGGAATAAAATAGTCGCAAAAACTGAAGGGGGTGTGTGTCCCTTATGGTGAAATGGTTTAATTCATGTTCCCATTCAGTAAATAAGGTGATGGGAGGGCCTGGGCAAGTCTTTTAGAAAATTTCCTTGGCATTGAATGTCTCCTGGGTTAGAATATCTGGGCATTATAAAATCATATTGTTTGCATTATTTTGAGCTGAGACATCTAGATTTTGAAACAGTTATTTTATATGCTTTATTTTTAGTGTCTAAAATAAATACAGTTAAATGCCACTGTGTGGGAGAGTATTTTAAAGAATTTCAAGTTCCTATTGGAGTTAATCTTGAGCAGTAACACAGAACATAAGCAGTTTTGATTTTAAGGTTTATTCCTTCTCATCTTTTCAGATAGTGTTTGTCCCCTGCCCCTGTGATGTCGTGGGAACGTTTAGACTATGGGTCACTTTGAAGTGTCACCGACGTAAGGAAAGATGATTGCAGATACCGCTTCCACTAATACCAACTTTGTGTTTTTGAAACAGAACCTTTGCCGGTGACTGATCTCCGAGTTGCCTTCATGGGTGTGACGCAGGCCCTTCTCACCTGGAGCAACACAAGTGGCTCTGCCTCCTACCGGATGCTTCTTAAAAGCTTTGGAAACTCCCCAGAGTTGACTCCATATCCATCCATCAATATTTCAATATATGGGCTGGGGGCCCATAGTTTCTGTCCTTTCCCAGAATCAAAGGAGACACAGAATGACTTACAGGTTACAGAAGGTGTGTTACAAAATTGTGCATCAGGTTCTGATTTTATCATTGACTGGATTTTAAAGCATATTGTTCATGTTTTTGTGTAGGGTCTTAGAATCACTGGAGGGCTGTAGTCTGAGCTCATACATTTATGAAGAAGGAAGAGGGCTCATGTTTTACATGTGAACATGGGGCTCAGTATGGTGGTGGGGCTGGAAACTTTTGGAGTTTGGAATTCAGGAAAGTAGGTAGTTCTTTTCAATTTTTCTTCAGGTGAACAGATGCCAAGTGCTAACCTAAGGATGGTCAAAGCAGTTTCTTCACCGAGAAGAGGGAGCTTTAGGAGGCAAACAGTAGATGTTCTTTGTAGTTTCTTTGGAGGAGTTATTTGTAGAGTTTGTAATATTCCTAGTGGATTCCTCAGTAACTGTGAAATGAGGAGGGACGGAGACTCAATCTCCATTTTGCATCAAGGAAACAGAGATACAAATTGGGGATTAGGGTCAGAAACCAGATGTTAAATGCTAGGAATGAAAGATAATTTATGGCCCTGACAGGTTGTCAAGCCTTCAGAAGATGCACCCCTCTCATCTCTCCTCCTGCTTTGGTCTATGTGCCAGGTTGCTTTTCAGGGTCATGAGCTTTTCCCGTTTCATCCTCTGCTGTCCTCGCCACCCTCTCGGGTGTGGTCCTGGCGTGGCCTGTGGTAGCAAAGGCAGAGTTATGGAGTGGTCTGTGAAAACCATGTCCCAAAGAGAGGAGAATGGACCAGCTTACCAGAGTTCAAAGAAAGATACAAAATATCCATGGTGTTTCTGGGGTAATGGTTCTTTTCAGGGAATTGGATCTTTCTCAGGAGGAGGCAGAGAGCAGATATTTATGGAGTACCAACTGTGGGCTTGTTAGATGTGTCATCCTAAGGAATGGGGTGGTGAAAGGTGGGGGGTGTATTCTCTTCTTGTTAATGTCTTTGCCTTCTGTGTTTGAAACAGATACCAATGGTAGCGAGAGAAGCCCCGTGGCCAACCTATCCCAACTCCACAGGAGCTTTCTCGACTCCGTAGACCCACCTTCTGTTCAGGGTCCCTCCCTCCTAGAGGTCTTGCTCACCGGGCTAAGGCCGGATACTGACTACAGGGCCGTCGTTTATTCTCAAGCAGCAGATGGCACAGAAGGACAGCCTGGGAATGAAGAAGTGTTTACAACAAGTAGGTTGGATTTTGCAAAATGGCTTCAGCCTGAGCCTCTCACAAAAAGTTTTATCTTGTGCAGTTCCCTCTCTCTGGATTATTTCTCTCAGCAGTTAGTTCTGTTATTAGCAGGATCTTTCTGAGAGAGATTTTTGGATAGGTCCCATGCACTGAGTTTCTACTTACCTCTGTGGCCATGACGTATCTGTTGTGAAACTTAGTAAAGCATTGAGCAGGGGTGTAGATGCGGGATGCCGCCTCACCTCTGTATCTGTGGATTAGCCAGAGAACTTCTGTTTGGGCCTGCCTTTGGGATTCATATTGAACTTCCTGTCGAGACACCTGCTGGCCTTCACATCGCTATCATTAGCTGTGATTCATAGGCACTCCCGCTCCTGAGTTCAGTATTTGGAAGCTTTTGCAATTGGTACTGATGATGGAATAAGGAGATGTATGGTTCCTGGTCTTGGAGGTTTTTCATATAGATGGGGGCTTAAGATAAACATGCATGGAAACACCTGCCTGTGGACCCTTTGAGCTCAGGAACAAGCCGCAGTTCTCAGGGACTTGGTGTGCACTGACTTGCGGTGTCTTAGCAGAATATATTTTGAAAGGTCAGCAGACTTAAGTGGGTGAGGGTAAAGGCTGGAAGAGCAAGGAAAGAAGGCAAGCTGGCATCCAGGAAGTGCGGGGCCACCCTAGATGAATTCTAAGTCCCCAGTTAAATGTTGTGTATCTGTTTGATAAGTGGCTGTGCTGGGTGAGGAAGATATTGACCACCAAGAATGTTGGGTGCTGCTTTGAAAGGGAGTGGGGCTGCTGCACAGGTGGTGCATGGCTACTGCCCATTCTGCTGTCCTCTAAATGCTGAGTACATTGGGAGACAAGAACACGGTTTTAACATTCAGTCCTGAGGGAGGGTCTCTTACAGGGAGGATGGTAGGTCTTGGATAAATGGAGGCGGGGTAGATGGGGAGCTGGGGAGCTGGGGAGTTTGGGAGAAGGACTCTTCAGTTGAAATGTCCTGATCAGAAATACAGATGACAGACCTGGGACATGAAGGCAGAAGGAAGGGGAGTAGTGGGAGTGGTGATGGCAAGGCTACTCACCCAATGGGCTCTGTTAGATTTATGACTCTGTTTTAAAAACTGTTCAAATATTTATAAAGGATAGCCCTGGATCACAAGCCCCCTCTCCTGTGGGGGCAACTGGGTAAGATAGTGTCCAGAAGAATGGCTGTATGAACAGCAGCAGATAGCGTAGAGCAGCAAGAAGCACTAGATAGGATCCAGCCAGGAGGGCCAACCTGGAGCCCAGCTGTTGGCAAATGAGGACTAGAGCCTGGGATGAGGGGATGCAGGGAAAGGAGGAGACATCTTGAAGATCCTGGTCATTCTTGAAGGTTTAGTGTAGCTCTTAGGAAGATACTACATGTATATCTTGAGAATTCTCTCCTTTTTAGTGAGTAGAGAGGGGAGAAAGAAGCAGCATACTTTGGAATATTTGCAAGCACAATGCCTGGTGAGATTGTGTGATGTGTCCAGGGTTAGAAAATATAGAGGAGACGTTGGTTAGAAGCTGTGCCTATAAGGAATGCAGCTTCCCCTGGCATCCATGCTGAAGCAGGAGCAACTTGTGTCTTTTTTTCTTCCTCTTCTGGAAGTGATAAAATTTTGGTGGGGAAGAAGGAGGCTGCCCTGGATCAGCTGCTTAACTTCGGTCCTCAGTGGTCTAGTGACAGTGGCTCATTGAGACTCAGTATGAGGAAGACTGGCTATAGAGACTGGGTTGCCCAGAGATGCTTTTACTGGTGATAGACTGTCCTACACATGAGAAGCTTGGTCCATATCTAGTCCTTGTGTCCTTTACTAGGCCTCCTTAGCTGGGTTCCTCCAGAGGAAGGGACGTCTGTCCAACTTGCTGAGAGGCGTCATGTAGTCAGGTTCCGAATGTCTGCTTTTAAAAGTACTTTGAGAAAAACTGAAATTACTGTGTTTGTATTGTAGATTGTTGGTTTGGATGCATACATATCCTGGGTTATAGTGAACTGTCCCACAATTTGATAAATATGGAAGCTATGTGGTCTTTATACGGTGTTTGAGTTTTGTACATGTATGTCAGTTTGTTCTGGTTGATGTGACAAATTACCACAGACTGGACAGCTTATATGACAGACGTTTACATTTTACAGTTCTGGGGGATTGAAGTGTGAAGTCAACTGCTAGAGATAATTGGTCTTCAGCTGTGGGCCTCCTTCCAAGCTTCCGACCTTTTCCCTAATGTCACAGTACAGACGAGCTACTTTTAGACCTCTTAATGATGGCACTGGCCCTATTCATGATGTTCTACCCACCCTTCTCAAAGCCCACCTCGGAATGGCATCAACCCAGCAGTTAGAATTTTTAACAGGTGATAGGGGTGGGGATATATACTAATCTCTAACACATGTGTACATTCACATGTGTGCACACACATCATCTGATATTGTTCACGTGACTGGTTAAGTGGGTCAGGATTAAGGAAACTATCAGAGTATATTTAGGACTCAAACAAGCGGCTGATGGAAAACTACCGCCAGAGCTGGAGTGAGGGAGCAGATAGTTTTTCTGGAGCCTGGTGAAAGAAGGAACTGTGGGATGTAAGACCGATTATTCTCGTCAGCCAACTCTCAGGATCCTGCCTATCTCATTCATTAGTGGAGAGTGTTCACAGGCCATGTGGTAGGTCTCCAGTGATGCCATATGTAGGGTGTAGTCTCCTGAGGCACAGGACAGGCAGAAGAAAGGCAGGATGGGCTGGGAGAGTGGATAACTGGATGTAACAAGTCTTTTTCTGTCTTGCGAGCCAACTCCCAAATAATGACACAGAGACTCATTAATTATGAAAGCTTGACCTTAGCTTAGGCTTGTTTCTAACTAGCTCTTATAACAGCCCATTTTTATTACTTTACATGCTGCCACATGTCTCATGGCTTTTACCTCTCTTGAATGTCCTGCTTCCTTTCCATCTCCTCTGCCATCTCCCCCACACCTAGATTTATCTCTTCTTTTTTCTCTGCCCCAAAGTTCCACCTAACCTCTTCCTGCCTAGCTTTTGGCCAGTCAGCTCCTTATTAAACCAAGCAGAAGACACTTTGGCAAAGTCACATCTTTACAGTGTACAAAGAGATTATTTCACAGTAACTGGATGACATCTGGTTCTCACGTTGTCTTTTTGTAAGGTTAGGGTGGGTAACTGTCACAGAGGAGAAAGCAGCTCAGTGGCTTTTCTAAAGTCTACTGACTGGTAGAGCCCAGATAGCCTTTGAATCTAGTGTGCTCCCTGTAATTTATGATGAATAGTGTCTGTTCTTGGGTGAATGTGTACTTCAGGAATTTTCTGGCTCATCCTCCCCCATCTCCCAGGCAGCACATGTGAAAGTTCATACTATTGTTTGATCTGGAATCTTAGTATCTTTCAAGGTCTGCTCACAAACTGAATCCAGAGCATCTGTGAGGTGGCCAGGCTGTGTATTCTTCACTGATACCCAACTTTGGTGAGACCCACATACATTTCTGGTCATGGTGAGGTGATGATGAGGGTGACCAATCCCTAAATGTGTTCTGCAGGACCCGTGACAGGTCCCGATTGATACTCTCTTCTCATTCTGACTTGGCCATTCTGATTATTTTTACTCCTCTTGTGTCTTCAAAGATTCCAGCCAGGTTTTTGACATCAGAGCTGTGAACATCAGTGCCACAAATATGACCCTGACCTGGAAGATCAAGTATAATGATGGGTTATCTTTTCCTTACACCTACAAGATACATGTGGCTGGGGAGACTAATTCTCTCAATCAAACTGTCAACAAGACTGAGGCTGTCATCCATGGACTCAGCTCGAGCACCTTATACAACATCACAGTACGTCCTTTCCTCGGTCACATCGAGGGCACACCAGGCTTCCTCCAAGTATATACTTGTAAGTTCACTCCTTGGTATCTGGTCTGGTTTGCTTTTCTGTTGTGGTAGTGGTAAACTCTGTGACCAGAGAAACTTGGGGGGAAGAAACAGTTCACTTCAGGTTACACGGCTAGGTAGCAAGCAATCCATTCCTTAGGGAAGTCAAGGCAGAGCTGAAGCACAAGCCATGGAGGAATGTGGCTGCTTGGCTAGCTTTCAGACTGCTCAGCTGGTTTTCTTCAACAACCCACGCCCATCTTCCCAAATACAGCACACCTACAGTGTGCTGGGCCTGCCCACAACAATCATCAATCAAGACCATTTTTTGCAGATGTGGCCATAGGCCAGTCTGGGCAATTATACAACTGAGATTTCATTTTCTCAGGTGACTCTAGGTTCTGTCAAGTTAACATTAAAAACTAGCTAGCACTCTATAGCTTACCTACCTGTGGTTTGTTGTGTGCCTGGTCTCAGTACAAGGCGAGGAATGCTGAGCACTGCCTATGGCGCCACAGGGCCTCATTTGCCCTTCAGGGTGTGAGATGTAATAATAGTGATCATCGATTGGCCCTAATCATTTGCTCAGTGATGCTTTTGCACTGTGTCACTGAGAGCTTGGACATCCTTGTGGTATGGTTGGTGTTAGTCTTACTTTATGGAAGTGGAAGCCATGATCGAGATAATGTGTTCTGGCATCTCAGCAGGGACCTGACAGAGGTGAGATTAGACCTTTTGGAGTAACATGTTCAAGATAAAGCAGCCAGCCATGGCCAGCACTCATCCTCAGAGCTTGGGAATCCTTACCTCCTGTCACTGTCTGTGGGTGACTGACATGGTGTCTACATTCTGTGTGGCCAAGTGATCTTTCTTTAGCCAGAAGCACCAGTTTTTGAAGGGACTTTATACTGCAGTTGGTGCTCCAGGAAAAGCGAAAGGGAGAACAGGTCAGTTTCTTATGAGGGTTGGCTGCTCTGTCCTCTGGAGACAGACTTTATACTTTTGTTTTTGTAGTCCAAGCTGGTCTTGAACTCGAGATCTTCCTGTCTTATGTTCTCAAATGCTGGTATTGTGGGCAGTGCCACTTCTGTACCATGCCTGGAGATGGAGGTTCTTCATCTAACCTTCCTCACTGTCTTCCATAGCCCCTGGTCCGGTTTCTGACTTCCAAGTGACAAATGTCAGCATAAGGGAAATTGGTTTGACTTGGAGAAGCAAAGACTCACAGTCATTTAGGATCCTTACCATGCAGGAGGGAGGTGAGAAGATTGAAAATTATACAACTGGAAATAGCTTTACCATTGAAAAATTAAAGCCTGGAACCACTTATCATTTTGAAATATTTCCACGAGGACCAGATGGGACTGAAGGGCCATCCAGAACAGTTGGTGTCAGAACTGGTAAGCATCCTGATATTGATACTTCTTACAGGAAGCCAGCATAATTTATAGATGTCTTGTTTTCAAAATATATTTTTCTTTTTATGTAAATGAATTTTAAAACATTTCATGACTGTGGTGATAGCAACAATACAAAAATAAAGTGACGAAGAATCATATGTAAACCTATCAGTTAGGTGCCACACTGTATTGTGGAGGTCAGAGGGTAATTTCCAGGAGTTGGTTTTCTTCTACTCTGGGTTCTGGGACTTGAACTCAGGTTGTCAGACTTGTGTGGCAAGTGCTTTTACTCACTGAGCCATCTGACCAGCATCTCACCCCTTTTTGAGATAGGGTCTTATGTGGTTTTCTGACTTACTATGCGACTGAGATTGGTCTTGAACTCCACCTCACAAATGCTGAGATTAGAGTCACATGCTACCATAGCCAGCTCCCTGACACTATTTTAAGATGTACACAAACATACATATTTATCCTTTATAAACCTTGCTGTCTTGGCTCATGTGTGGTTTTATAATCTGCTTTCTCCTCACTTAATCTGTGAATTATGACTATTTTCCCTGTTATTGTTATTTATTGAAACAGGTTTCACTGTGTAGCTCTGGCTGGGCTGGACCTCCTTGTCTCTGTAGACCAGGCTGACTTTGCATTTACAGAGATCAGCCTGCTTCTCAAGTGTTAGATTAAAGGCATGTGCCAATATGTCTGGCAATGTTTATTTTATGGCGTAATTTAAAATCAGCCTTGTATTTGTGTGTGGTTAGTGGTAGGTTCCTTGGAATAGGTGGCAAGAGTCCCAGACACTTAGAGTAACTGTCCGTTATTGAATCGCTGTCGTCCTTACTCGGGGTGTAGTTGAACAGCGTTAAAGGCAATCTAGAAAAAGGGAAACAAATGTTTCCTGATCTAGTTTTCTACTTTTCGGTATCTCTCAGGAAGAATTGAAAGCAGGATCTCAGATAGCTGTTTGTTTATCATTGTTCACTCACAGAAACCCAGAGATAGAAACCACCCAGTACCCACTGGCACACAGATAGACAAAATATGACTTTGTTTTTACATAATAGAATATCATTCTGCCTTTGGGAGTGAATCTTCATGTATGCTGCAACATAGATGTATCTTGTAAATATTAGTGTAACATGAGGTCCTGCTTGTTGGGGTTTTCTGTCCTGCCCAGTTCCCCACAGCCGACAAGCCCCAAAGAAAATCACACAGAGATCTCTATAAGTTAGGCTTCTTATTAGTTCTTGTAACTTATATTAACCCATTATTCTGATCTATGTTTGCCATATGGCTCAGTACCTTTTCCAGCTGGCAGATCACATCCTGCTTCTTCATTGATCTGGCTGGACTGGGAGGAATCAGCTTCCTCCTTCCCAGAATTCTCCTGTTCTCATTGCATCACTTCTACTTCCTGTCTGGTTTTCCTACCTATACTTCCTGCCTGGCCAATCAGTGTTTATTTAAAACATGATTGACAGATTACAGACAATTCTCCTACATATTAGAAGTGAAATAAGTCACACAAAGAATACTTTACAAAGTGAAATAAGTCACACAGAGAAAGATAATTTTGTTATTACATTTAATGACCGGATCTTAATGTGCAGCCCTAGCTGGCCTACAATGTGTTATACAGAATAGATTGTCTCAAACTTACAGAGATCCTCCTGCCTTTGTCTCCTGCATGCTGGGGTTAAAGGTATGTGTCATCACACCCCTAAAAGGCAGGTACTTATGCTTCAGTTTGTACACAGGGTCTAGAATAGGCAGGTTCAGAGAGAGAGAGAGGAACTCGGGTAGAGGGAATGGGATGGTAGGGCAAAGTAGGTACAGATTTTATGTTGAAAAATGATGAAAACATTTTGAGTGTGATAATGGTAATGTTTATACAATACTAGGAATATATTTAGCACTGCCAAAATGCACATTGACAGATGGTTAATGATAAATAATATGCTGTGTTATTTACCATGCTAAAGGGAAGGAGCATATGTAACTCTTAACCACTCTCATATGATTGAATTTCTTTTCTGTCCGAGTGCACAGCCATACCTTTTGTCCACATCGTCATAATTTTACAACTGATTTTATTTTTTATTTGAACGTTTTGCTCTGTGTGTATATATACTATATAGTATATACTATACTCCCCATAGCTAGCATGACCTTCCTGCTTTTAGAGAAAGGTTCCATCATGTAAGCATGTTATTACTTTATAGTTCTTCCTTTGTTTTCCTCCTTAGTGTGCCGGGCGGCTCATATGAGCACACTCTTTTTAGTAAATGGCAAAGAGCAAGCAAACCAACACTTATTTAGACAGAGTCATGCTATGGAGCTCAAACTGACCTTGAACTTGAAATCCTCCTGCCTCAGCTTTGTAGATATTATTGAGATGATAGGAGTGCATCACACTCAATTTCAAACACACTTTTTTCTTTTCTTTTTTTTTTGAAATAGGGTTTTTCTGTAGCTTTGGAGCCTGTCCTGGAACTCACTGCATAGACCAGACCAGGCTGGCTTTGAACTCACAGAGATCTGCCTGCCTCTGCCTTCCGAGTGCTTGGATTAAAGGCGTGCATCACCACCACCCATCTTCAGACACACTCTTTATTGAGATACAATATAGGTATAAAAAGTGTACCCATTCACAGTACATAGCTTGACAAAGTATCACAGGTCAAACACACCAGAATCCCTTAGACCTGGAGAAATGGCTGTTAAGAGCACTGAATGATCTCCCAGAGGATTTGGGTTTGGCTCCTAGAACCCACATGCATGCTCACAGCCACCTTTAACTCCAGTTCAGGGGATCCAGTCCCCCTCTTCTGGCGTTGATGGGTACCAGGCACACAGTTTGACATTTGTGAACTCACTATTTTTTTTTTTTAAGTAGGGTTTCACTCTATCCCTGACCTCTAGTACACTGGACCTGAACTCATTGGAGAGTTGGCTAACAAAAAGTTGGTTATTTGACAGACACTTTGAGATGAAGCTAGAATCATGATTATATAGTTTTCTTTCTTTTCTCTGACTAGACCGCAGTGCTGTGATCGACATCCGAGTGATCAGTGTTGGCACCAGTGAGATGCAGCTGGAGTGGGGGAACACAGACGGTACTTCTGGGTATAACTACCACATAGTTCTGGTGTCTGAACACAGCCCCCACGAGACCAACAAGACCACCGTTTCTCAGAAAGCCGTCACACTAAAGGGCCTCACCCCAGGCACCTTATATAATGTCACAATCTCTCCAGAATTGGAGAAGGTCCAAGGTGACTCCAGCTCTATTGCCCAGTACACACGTGAGTCTTGTGGGGACTGGGGGTGGGCAGAGGGAGTGCTTTTTCTGTCTCTCATGTGGAGGAAGTACAGTAATGGATGGAGAAGGGGCGGATTATGCCTCTGGGTTTTAGACTGGTGTGGGAGTTGTTTAATTTAAAAACATCAGTTTCAGCAAAGGCTCCTCAGCTCTTGTGAGCACTGTGGCTGGAGCCATGTGAACACAGAACTGTTCTCTGGAAGCATCATATGAGAACGGAGAATGTTGTAGGGCCGGCTACTCCTCAGAAACATTTTAGGGAGCCGCTGTCCTGCCGGCACGGAAGAACCCCTCACATGAGGGTCTCGTCTTGTGACCGTGAAAGAGAGGGACTTCCCTAGCATTCAGATGGGATAGATGGTGGAAGTGTTATCTTATCATATGCTTTACCTTCTTCATTGGTCAGATTCCAAAAGGAGGTTGGAAATTCTATTGCTTCTCTCCCTCACTTCCCACCTCTCTCTGTGAAGTAAAATATTGGAATATACATACTAAGTTTAAAAGAAGCTGAACATTTTAAATTTTTTTCAGATTTTAACATATATTAAATTTATTATTATTATTATTATTATTATTATTATTATTTTGGTTTTTCAAGACAGGGTTTCTCTGTGAAACGGTCCTGGCTGTCCTGGAATTCACTCTGTAGACCAGGCTGGCCTCAAACTCACAGAGACCCACCTGCCTCTTCCTCCCAAGTGCTGTGCCACCACCTAATATGAATATTTAATATGCATATTTTATGACTGTCTTTTTGGGTAATTATCTTTTGAAGCAATGCATATTAATTATATTAACTCTTTCTTGAAAAAAGGCAGGCAGCTTTTGGATTTAGCAAATAAAATATATCAAATTCAAAGTGGTTCATTTTATTTGTTTATTTAATTTTAAACCAAGGGCCCAGCAATGTGTCTGACATTGAAGTAAGCACCAACGCCACTGTGGCAGTCATCTGGTGGAAGTATCTGGACCCAGCCCCTGCTAAGTTTTCCTACTGCCTTATCTTGAAGGCTGGAGATGACAGCAATGTAACTAAGATGGTCATACACACTGGAATCACTTCTGTGACAATCGCTGACTTAATCCCTGGCTCCTCTTACGAAGTGGAGATCTTTGCAAAAGTTGGGAATGTTACAGCATCACCTGGCCGGAGGTTGTTCTGTATGGGTGAGTAGTCCCATGTTCCTAATGGTTCCTATTTTTCTCTTTGTTATGCTCACTTTCAGGAAGCTTTTCCCAGCCTGTGGGTTACTGTGCCTGCAGTGGGCAACCGTGGCATGGAGCACTGCAAGACAGCATGTGTGTGTGTGTGTGTGTGTGTGTGTGTGTAACACATGGATGCTGTTACCATTGCTTCGTTCAGCATGTGTTTATTGAGCACTTGCTATGTTAGAGAGGTTCCTCCATTTCTGTAATATTTATCCTGGTGAATAGAACAGATAATAAATAAAATGAACAGGTAGTTAGGTGATGATTATGGCTAAAGAGGAAAAAGGAAAACTTAGGGAAGGGGGAATGTATTCTTATTAAGGTGTCATGTGAGATGCCTCATGAAAAGGTTAAATGGAAAGGTGACTGAGCAAAGACCTGAGGGAGTAAAGAGCCAAATACATGAATATCACAGGGTTTTGACCCCTGCATTATGGGCAGGGGAGCAGCCAGTGAGAGGCCCTGAGGCTGAAGACAACAGTGAGGGCCAGGAGGCATCAGAGCTTGATGCTTGGCCTCTAAATTTTCCTATGATGTGGTTAAATACTTCTGTGGCTTTAAGTGACCCTTGTTCAGTTAGATACATCCCACCTGATCTACTTGCTTGCTTGGTGGTTTGAGTAGTGTCTCTGGGGCTTCCTACAATTTCAGCCTTAAGCAAGAGAAAACCCCATATGAACAAGTATGGCTGGGATGGATGGAACTGAATGTGGTTCTTCTAGAAGAGCAGCAAGCATTCCATCTGCTAAGCCATCTCTCCAGCCTCTTCTAAGAATGCTGCATGGTGACTGACACTAATGTTTCCTTTAATCCTCAGACAGTCTGCACTGAACCCCAGAGCAATAAGGTCACATGGTCTGCTATCGCTTAGTCCACTCAACTATCTCCTTGCTATCTCCTTTTGTGCTGGGCCAGGTCCTCTGCTTCCCGTGAGCCTCACCTTGCTCTGTATTTTGCTTTGTAGAACCTGCACCAGTGGCCTTCTTCCACTGTGAGATGGTCCCTAAGGAGCCATTTCTGGTCCTGAAGTGGCCCTGCCCCCCTGGCGTGAATAAAGGCTTCAAGATAGGGGTCAGGAATGACACTTGGAACTATACGGCACTCCTGGAAAATTGCACTTCAGAAAATGACACAGAATGCAAGAAAAAAGTACCAGATTTGACGTTTTCTACCTCGTACAACATTAGCATTGTCACCTTGTCTTGTGAAAAGATGGCACTCCCCACCCAGAGCACCTGCACCACTAGCATCACAGGTATTGTATTGCAGCCCAAAAATCCATTTAGGATGTTTACATTCCCTTAAAGTATTTTTTACCAGCGGACTGTTTACCTTGTTCTGCAGAAATCCAACCGGAAACTGCAGAGTAAGAGATATGTGTTCTACATCCTGAGTGATTCTGTGTTCTGCGACCTTACAGAATAGCTTGTTGCCATGTTTCATTTTGTCTTCCTTTCCTCTCTTCCTCTCTCCTCTCTTCCTCTCTCCTCTCCTCTCCTCTCCTCTCCTCTCCTCTCCCCTCCCCTCCCCTCCCCTCCCCTCCACCTCTCTTATAGTATGGAGTTCCCTTATTGCATTTAAGAAAGGCATTTTTAATAGAACTGTTCAAATATATACTAAGTCCAGACAATAAGATGAAACTCATGTCTTGTTGGGACACTTGCCAGCATTCAGCCACTCTCAGCACATTTATGCCCCTGCCTTCCTTCTAAGCTGTTATTGGAAGGGTGACTCCGAAACCTGATTTGACCATTGGTTGTGTTTGTAAATATTACACATGGATCACTTCAAGATAAGGACTTTCTTCTTTTCTTTCAAATGTAGCCATACTCCTATGACAACTCTGCTTATGGGAGAAGACTTGGAAAGCAACCCCGTTATTGTGCATGTGGTCAGGGTCTGCTGACAAGAGCCTCACTTGCTCTGGGGAAGAAAAGACCGTGCGCTCTGCAGGGCTCCCCTCACTGAACCCTTCATGTGCATTTCTCTTCTTTCTCCCTCCTCCCCCACCCCTCTGTTCGGAAAGAATTGATTTTATTTTATCTATCCATTGCTCCTGTCTCTGCCTAATTTGTGTTTTAGTTCAACTAGTGGAGTGGTGGTGTTCTATCTTCTTTTGTGGTTTTTGACTTAGATAAATTCTTCAAGGCTTAAGGATATTTCTTCTAATTTCTAAAGAACTAGCGGTTGTTCTAAAAGGGCCTCTTACTTTAGGGACCCAACTTGGAAAGTGGTTGAGGTGTTTTATAGACAGAGGCTCAGAATAGATAGGTGGACCCTGGCTTGAGTTCAATTTGTCCTTTTTACCAGTCACGTGATCTTTAGAAAAGGTAATTAACCTTGCAAATCGTCTCAGTTGTAAAAAGGAGAAACAGTACTTACCTTCCAGGACTGCTGTACCGCATATTACACATGGAAGACCACACACATGGCTGCTCAGGTTGTGTACTAAACAGTCTCACGAAAACAGCATGCCTGGGGCTCCCTAAAGCTGTGCAGCACACCATGGTACCCGCCTGTGCACTCTACTTCGGCTTTGTACACCATAGTGGGCACAGTGAACATTTCATTTCCCTCTTTCAGCATCTCTTTTCATGTTGCCGTCTCTGTATGAACTGCTGAAGAATAGAGACCATGGCTGAGTCTCACTTGTCATAGAGCATAGAAGCTCATCAGAACTAGACACCTCTGGTTTGGGGCTGTAGTTCAGTTGGTAGAGCACTTGCTTAGGTCAGACATGAAGTTTGAGTTCAGTCTCTGACACTACATAAACTGCATGTGGTAGCACATACCTATAATCCCAACACATGGCAGGTAGAGTCAGGAAGCTCAAAAGTTCGATGTCATCCTTGGTTATTATAGGGAGTTCAAAGGTAGCATAAGCTATATAAAAATTAAACATAAAAGGGGAAAATAAGATGAACAAATATGATCATATATTATTTTATTCAGCGATTCTCAGTTTTTTAAAACTGGTATCTTGCTTTTACAGATGAATATTTATAAATTTATGTATTTAATACCAGTTAAATTCAAAATTGCATTTTCTCTCGATTGGGAAGTATTGGAGAAAAGGAGAGTTGGGGTGAAAGTCTTTGCCGGGTTTGTTGCTTAGTTCCTGTGTGCTGAGGGTAAGGGATGTGTGTGTGTCATGGGGTTGGGCAGGTAAGTTTAGTATTCCAGAGGAGGAAAGAGAAGGAATGAGTTTCTGGAGTTGTGGAAATGCTGCCGTAGTGTGCTGCTGCCAGTCTTGAGGTGGGAAGTGTGATATCCCTTCTGACATCTAAATTCTGGGAGAGCTGATGGTAAATGTGGGGGCATCTATGGAGTCACTGTCATTGGGCTTGTTCAGAATCCAGGTATCTGCACAGAACCTATTCCCTTCCTGCCGCCTACCCTCTCTGCATACAGCTTCCGGGACAGGGGCGGGTCTTGGAGAGAGCATTTGAGCACATTTTCTCCTTTGATTTTAAATGTTGGGTGAGTCTTCTGTTTTATATTTTAGACCCACCTCCTCCAGATGAATCCCCTAATATTACATCTGTCAGTCACAATTCAGTAAAAGTTAAGTTCAGTGGTTTTGACGCCAGCCATGGACCTATCAAAGCCTATGCTGTCATTCTCACCACTGCAGAAGGTAAGGAGGGGCCAATGTGGGTTAACTTGTGTGACAGAACCATCCTGGTTACTTTCTTATTGTTGTGATAAAACACCACGACCCAATCAACTTATGAAAGAAAGTGTTCAATGGGTTTATGGTTTCAGAGGGCCAGAGTCCGTGACGGTAGAGTAAATGCGCAGTGACAGGAGCATCTGAGAGCTTACATCTTGATCCACAAGTAAAGCAGGCGTGGGGGTTTCGGAAACCTCAAAGCTCACTCCTAATGACAGACTTCCTCCAACAAAGCTATATGTCCTAATTATTCCCAAACAGTTCCACCAGCTGGGGACCCAGTGTTCCAGTGTTTGAGCCTGGAGGGGCTGAGTTGAACCGCCACTGTGAGCAATGCTGTAACCCACAGGCACATTAGTGACATAAATAAATTGTGTCTCTGTACTGTAGCCTGTACTGCAGACTCACAGGGAGGCTGGCTGTTTGCTTGGTGCTGTAAATGATCAGATAGCAAGTATTTTAAGTTTTCATGGCCTTGCAGCCTCTGTCACAACTATCTAACATCTTTGTGATGGTGTGAAACCATGTATGGAAAATTTATGAGGGTGAGGGTGCCCATCCCCACAGCTGTTTACACACAGGTAGTGGCTAGATTTGGCCCATAGGCTCTCACTAGTCAATTTAGGATGATTTTCTCTTGAAAGCAAGTACAAAAAGATTGCACTTGCTAGTGGACTCTGTGAAGGGCACCAACTGGATGGGAGGGGAGGTGAACTAGGATGATTTTTCTGTGCCAGTTAGAATGGTGTCTCTGATAGCTGTGTGGGAGTGTTTTACCAAAACCAGGGCTAGGGAGATAGCTCAGTTGATAAAGTACTTGCCTTGCACAGACCCTGAGTTCAGTCCTTGGGAACTACATTACAGAAAGGGCATTGTGATATGCCCTTGTAATCCTGGAGCTGGGGAGGCAGAGACAGGAGGATCCCTGAGCTCCCAGGTCAGCCAGCTTAGCCTGGAATGAAGTTCCAGGCTAGAGAGAAATCCTGAGTCACAAAAGGTAGGAGGTGCCTGAGGAATGATAGCTGAGGTTGTCCTCTGACTTCCACACACACACAGACATACATGCATACAAAGTAGCTCACACACATGTACCTGCATCCTGATGAATACATATAAACAAAATGTGGAGATCACTTTCTCTGACTTTTAAAATGTTGAGTCTGTTTTTAACCCCTTTGTCATTGAATGTGTTTTCAACCAATTTCAAACTCAGACCCATGTTGAATGAAAAAGATCCTGTTACATGCTGCCCAGGCCAGTCAACACCAGCAGTTCTTGGGCCAGGAGATCAGGGCTAGGAATCCAGCCCCCAGCATGTGCAGTGTGGCTTTGGTCAGGTTTCTGCTAGCTCTCTGCTCTTTGTTTTTCTTGCTTGAGAATAGGGATCATATGCTTTTGTGGGAGACTCACGATGAAGGAATGAGGTGATATAAGCCAAATACTAAGGATTCACCTGCTCCTAGAACTGTTTGAGAGACGGGCTGCTGGCATCGTTACTCAGCACCTGTGTTGTTCCGGAGGGTTTTTTTTTTTTTAAACACTTTTGTCTTGCTGCTGTCATTCATGATTTGCCTCTTTGTTCCTTAGCTGGCCAGCCTTCTGCAGATGTTTTGAAGTACACATATGGAGATTTCAAAAAGGGGGCCTCAGATACTTATGTGACATATCTCATAAGAGTAGAAGAGAAGGGACGCTCTCTGGGCTTGTCTGATGTCTTGAAATATGAAATCAATGTGGGGAACCAATCCACCACCTTCGGCTATTACAACGGAAGGCTGGAGCCTCTGGGTTCCTACCGGTAATATGAGTCCTTGCTGTTGGGTGCTGAGCCTCATGAATTTAAGATTCTACATACTAAGGTGGTAGAAACATCTCAGTTTCCTTATTTTCTCCATTGTCCCCCATAGGGTGTGTGTTGCTGGCTTCACCAATATTACTTACAACCTTCAGAATGGTGGACTCATCAATGGGAATGAGAGCTATGTTTCTTTCAGTCAATATTCGGATGCTGTGTTCCTGCCTCAAGATCCAGGTAGAGGGAGACAAAAGCCCTAACATCAATGCAGTGGGTTTTCCACCTTGTGTCTGCAGAAGCCTATTGTCTCCGTAGGCACCTATAAAGGTGGAGGTGGCTGGTTTTCTCCTCTCAGAAACTAACATATCCCTTGGCCTTTGGGCTAGCTTAGCTCCCCACTCTGGTATCCTTAAAAGAGGTGCTCCCCACTTCTTCTCTAAAACCAGCCACACTTCTAATCTGCAGATTACTTAGTCCTTTGCTTTCTAAGAGTCACTTGTGGGCCCATGTGCCAACAAACATGTTCAGTTTAAAGAGTCCTTGAATGTTCATATTAGAAGGTACCATAGCAGTTGTCTTATCTTACGTCTGTGTAGAAATAAGGCTCCTAAGGCCCAGTGTTGCACAGTGACTTAAATGTAAGCCTGAAGTTCTAGCCTTAGACTCCTTGTAAAGTGCTCGTTCTATCCAGTATCACAGACCTAGATATATGGGAATTTCAGGGATCAAGGTGAGGGTCCCCTCTTCTGTCAGTATGGAGAAACAATGACTTACTGGTCTGTTCATTTGTTTTTCATAACTGCTGAGTAGAACAGATAGCCCAGAAGCAAAATTCAGGGATTCCCTTTAAACAGCCCATATAAATGGCAGGGGTGGGATGGGAGGGGGGAGGGGGAAGGGCTTCCATGCTGTGTGTGTGTGTTATTGTAGGTACTTCTGCTCATAAGCAATGGGAAAAAACACTGATCTCTCTCAGGTCACTAAATTTGCAGCTGAACTGAGACCAGCCAGGGGTTGTGATATTCTCAGGACCATCCTGATAATGGTGGGCTCAGGGTGAAGAAACAAGTTCTTGAAAGCTGGTTGTAATTTTATGTCTAAAGACATTTACTTTCCCCCTATGTGCACCACACTCCCTTTCTCCCTGAATCCTGTGTGGGTCCTGGGCTGGTTGTTGGTGTAGCACATGGCCCTTCATGAATGCCAATTGAAACGCCTCTTGTTGGGCCTTCCCCAGGTGTCATCTGTGGAGCAGTGTTCGGGTGTATCCTTGGTGCCCTGGCCATTGTGGCTGTAGGGGGCTTCATCTTCTGGAGAAAGAAAAGGTGATACTGCTTATTTAGTTGGCGTGTGCTGTTGTTTAAGAAAACCTTTTATTGTAAGGCATTGGAACCATTTGTAAAATCGGGAGGAACAATTGAAAGTTCTTGCCATCTGGCCAGACTTACTTCCTTTCTGACTCCAGTTGGGTGATTTGATTCTGAACCTCACCCCAACCACATCAGACCTACCTACTGTGCGGGATGCTGTGCAGGATGCTGTGCGGGATGCTGCTCTCAGGCCGGGATCCTAGGAATGTGTTAAGAATTTCATATGATTTTAGAGTTGACCAAGTTTGAACTTAAGTTCCACTCTGGCTAGCTGTTGGAAGTGGCTTAGCCTTAACCTCTTCCTCTGTGGTATGGGAATGAGTGCTGAGGAGGGTTGACAAATGTCTTACTCCATTGTTTTGTTACTTGTTATTTTCTTTCTACCACCACCCTGTGATGTAGTTAGTTAGTGGTACGGCAGTTTCATTTTGGGTGCCCTCTACCTCATGGACTTCCCAAGACTCTAACAGGCAAGTCTTAAAAGCCCTTCTAGGGTTGCAGAATCAGTATTGGAAGCACCAAAGAAGAACTTGAACTTGGTCTTTGGACTTTCTCTTGCCTGACTGTGGGAATCCTGTGTTGGAATTCACTTCTTGCCAGGTGCTTCTAGCTAGAAACTTCCACCTTGGATTTGGCTTTTTCAACATCATCCTCCTGTTTTTGTTTTTTTTCCCCTTTCCTGAAACAGTCTATTAAAATATCTTGGGATATTTCAAATGTAACAGAGGTAGCCTTGGATTCCTCGTCCTTCCACCTCTGCCGAGTGTGCTACCCAAGCCTATTCCAAAAAAACAGTAGTTGCTTTATCTCCCCCTCAATAAATCACACAGTGTCCCTTCTCTTCATATCACTTAAATCTTTTTTACTCTACTAAAAAATGAATCAGAACCTAGCTCAAAAGCTGGAATGTCAACAGTCAAGTCAATAGGGCACAGGGAGTGAGGTCCTAGTAAGAAGCTGATGGGAAGAGTTGGTCTGAACCACACAGTGGAACCTGTCTCAAAACCTGTAAACCACCACCAAACTCAAAACTCAAACCCATGATATTAAAGAAAATACCCACAAGAAAAGCAAAGAAATTCGGTAACCCATAATTACAACAAACCTGCTCTTACCATTTTCATGTGATTATGATGCTCACCCCAGTCGAGTCCTTTTAGATACATTAATAAGACATGATGGAGGGCTTCATTTCAGTATCATTTTAAGTAGCTGCCTGGTATTTGCCATCATTTATTTATCCATTTTACTGGATATTGTAATACTTTTGACTACAGTTACATGTCCTTGTACCTAACCTTTGGGCATGCTCACGATTATTTCCCTGGCTAAATTCCAAATAGAACATTTACTGGGTAAGTGGGCATACTTTTTTCCCTCCGATTTCGGTACATGCTGCTCAATTGCAGTTTGTTTCAGCACCAGGTGGAGCTGAGTCAACAGTGCAGGTGCTCACAGTGGCAGCTTTGGATTTGACTTCCTTTCAGGGCTTTCCCCCTCTTTGCATTAATTTACACACACTCTCACACACGAAAATTTCTAAAAGTTGCTTGAATAGATTTTTGATTCTTTTCAATAAAAAGAAAGAGTAAGTGTACTGATTTTTAGTTTACATTCCCTGCTTGGTCTGTTAGGTTGAGTATCAGAGAACAGGTTTCTGTTGGCGGTTATGGACTGGTGAGCAGGCTTCCATTTACCTGAACTACTGCCTGGGAAGAAGGTATCCATGGATGTGTGAAAGGTGACAGAGCAGGCAGGATGAAGGTCTTTGTCTGTCTAATGGGCCTTTTTTTCCCTTTCAAAATAGGAAAGATGCCAAGAATAATGAAGTGTCATTTTCTCAAATTAAGTAAGTCTGAGTTACAAATTTATTTTAAGATTCTCAGTCTCCCAGTCTGTTCAGTGACTATCTAGAGCATTTTTTTTTTTGATAGAAATAGCTGGCATTTTTTCCTGATTGACAGGTTGGCCATAATCTTCTGGAATTTCTTGCTGTTTTCTGCAAGGATTCTTTCTTTTATTGTCCTGCTGAAGTTACTTTTATTTTTGTTTCCCCATATGCTCTTCAGTTTTATTAACAAATAGGATTCTCTGTGTGTATCTGGTGTACCTGTGTGTGTAGGTATGCATCCGCACAGGTGCTCAGAGGCCAGAAGGGGGTGGCTCTGTCACTACTTGCTGAGTTCCCTGGAGACAGCGTTCTTGCTAAGAAGCAGCAGTCCTCTGCCATCCTCCTGTCTACCCAAGTTCAGCACTGGGGTTATAGGTGCATGTGGCCATGCTGGTGTTTTTATTTGGGTGCTGAGGACTTGAGTAGCAAGCACTCTGACCCACTAAACTATCTCCACAGCACCCGCACAAGGTAATTGCTATATTTTACAAAAGTGAGTGGATTATCAAGAGCCAAGCAAAAACAGTTATTTCAAGTCACAGATATTGTCAGTTATAGGATAGGGCTGCTTTTCTGATTTGCATCTCAATGGTTTTTAAAATAACATTGCATTGATCTCCAACCCATACCTCTCACTGTGTCTGGCTTTGTTCTTTTGAGTTGATGCTTACTTACTTCTAAAATGAGTACATCTAATTGATTTCCCCCTTTTTTCCTTTCCATGATGAAGACCTAAAAAGTGAGTAGCTTCATTTTTATATCTTTCATTTTGATATTCTTTCATTTATATTTTATATTTTGAGTTTGAACTTAACTGAATGAAAAATAAGCAAAAATGAAAACCCCAAGAAGTTGTTTTGTTTTCCTAGATCCAAGTTAATTCGAGTGGAGAATTTTGAGGCCTACTTTAAGAAACAGCAAGCTGACTCCAACTGTGGGTTTGCAGAGGAATACGAGGCACGTGGTCACAAACTGTTTTGCATTGTGGTAAAACTTTGGGTGAGAGGCAGCCTAGAGGGGAGAGAAGATTATGCCTGTTCCTCTGGGGCACCCTGCTGTTGGCTAGAAAGCTCACACAGACCTTCATTTTTGGTGGAATATGTGTTTAATCTTGTGGCTACCTGAAGATTGTCCAGAGAGAGACAGAAATGGGGAATTCAAGCTAGAGGACCATTAACTAGGGTCATTAATAAGCTACACGAGCAATGGAAAAGCCAAATGGGCCATTCGGAGGTCTGGGGCTTGGCAGACTCTGCTACTTTCTGTCCCCCAGACTGGCCAGGAACCGTCCTTACTCAGAAGTGCTCCCTGGTGCAGATTCTACTTTTGGACTCCTAGAGTCCTGCCCACAACTCCGACACAGTCCGTCCTCCCCCGTCACTCGGGTCCCACAGGCCTCAGGTTCTCTGTGTATTGATTGTCTTTATGCTGCCTAGTTCCCTCTGTAGTCTGCATGCCTCACTCTGCCTTGTCAGGCTGGTGACTCCTGACTGTCCAGCCCCAGAAGTCGAGAATCCTCTTTCTCCTTGCATTTCCATCTCTGATTTAGTTTAAGTGCTGCCCTATCAAGTACCATAAACAGGGGAACTAAGGACAAATATCCATCTCACTGTTCAGGAAACAAGAGGCTCAAAATCACAGTGTCGGCAGGGCCTGCACCCCCTTAACCTCCAGGGGAGATCCTGCCCTGGTTCTCTCAGTTTCTGGAAGGCCCCATTGTCTCTTGGTTTGGGGGAAGCATGGCTTCCATTTCCGTCACCCACTACCATCACTACCATATTGTGTTTCCTCTTGTGTGTCTGTGTCCCATATTATAACAACATTGTCCATGTTAGGTTAAGGACCCACTGTATTCCAGTGTGACTTCATTTTGATTTCTTGCTTCTTCCATGGCCTACTCATAGGTGTTGGAGGTTAGATGCTCAATGTCTCTTTGCACTTAGCAGTAGTCAATCCATTCTGCCTCTGCATTCCTAATTTTTTCTACCCTGTGCCTGATTTAATATATAACTCACTTATTTGTTTTCAGGATCTGAAGCTGATTGGAGTAAGTCTACCTAAATACACAGCTGAGGTAGCTGAGAACAGGGGGAAGAATCGCTATAACAATGTCCTGCCTTGTGAGTGATTTTATTCCTGTCTTCCCTTTGTCACTGGCCATCTCTTGAACAGTAGAGATATGGGGAATCAATAGTACCCACTTGCTGTTTTTACCACCATTCAGTACCAGATAGTCCCACAACCATTTACCTAGAATGAGCTAAGTACTCTATGAAGAGATATTACATTTAATTTAATCCTTACAACCACAGTTTGTAGAGTAGGTGGTGGAATATTTATTTCACAAGTGAAGAAAATAAACCTCCATGTTAGGTGACTTATTCAGAGTTGCATTCCTCTCATGTTCAGTTTGTTTTGTTCTGAAAGGGGCAACAGGAAAGCAGGTACAGGGTCACACTCTCTCCTTACCCAGATCTTTGATTAGATGATAGATAGATAGATAGATAGATAGATAGATAGATAGATAGATAGATAGATAGATAGACAGACAGATAGATGGATGGATAGGCATGTTCCACAGCTAAATGATAGATAGATAGACAGACAGAAGGACGCGCAGATGTACATATGGACAGATGGGTAAAATTCTAAATTTGGAGTTGCGGAGATGGCTCTATCAGTAAAGTTCTTGCCGTCTAGACGTGAGGTCCTGAGTTCAACACCCCAGTGCCCACAGTGCACACCTATAATCCCTGCACTGCCGAGGGAGAAGAAGCCCTTTCCTGCTTTTGAGAGTTGCCTGTGTCTGTACTTGTGCTGATTGGTTTTGACTTAACCTAGAATCACTTAGGAAGGAGAGTCTTAGTGAGGAATTGCTTAGGTTAGCCCATGTTTGGGGGGCATTTTGATTGATAATTGGTAATTGACCTAGCCTATTGTGGGCAATACCATTGTGTAGGCAGGAGGTTTTGAATGGTCTAAGAAAGGAGAAATCTTGCTGAGAGAGCAAGCAAGCAAAGGTTCATTTCTTCTCTCTCTGCTCTTGCCTGTGGACATGATACTTTAAGTTCTTGCCTTAACTTCGTCAAGATTGATGTGATCTGGAATTGTAAGCTGTGCAAACTCCCTCTCTTATATTGCTTTTAGTCAGGGTGTTTATCACAGCAAAAGAAATGAAACCAGAATAGCAATTACCCAACAAAGTGAGAACAAACTGAAGAATAGAGAAGGGTTAGTAATGTGAACTCTACTATAGGAAGTCTGTTGGTGTGAGAGTTAGCACACAGAAAGGAGTATCAGGGGGTCTGAACCATGCTCTGTCTGGTGCTTGGCTTTGTGGGTGGCTTTTGCACCAAGCCATTTAATGATTTCATTGTTTTAATTTGAAGTCATGCTTTTCTATTAGCTTGTATTTTAAACTCAGTGTCTTTTAAGTCGTCGGTTCTTTTTCCATTTCTTCCCTCATACTTGTCAGTGGGTCTTGGCCTTGAATGGAAAGAAGTGCTTTTGTAGCCATGCTGGGGGAGCTGCTATGCCTCTACCCTCCTGAGACTAACTCAAAACTCTGGCCTGCCATTGGAGAGCTTTGGATCTGGAGTGAGGGCTGGGGTTTGATGTCTGGGTGGTGTTTCTATTGAGAAAACCTTTCTTGACACACACATCACTACTGGGTTTACTATTACTGTGCTACTCTGTCCCAGGAGGGTCAGGCAGTGGAATCCGGTGGGGACAGGGAGCTGTCCTTGATACCCATGACTTATCCTGACATTTGGAATTCCTCAGTTATTATCACCTCTGGCATTATTATCATGGGCAAGTTTGTGTGTATGCTTTTTAAATGAGAATGATATTGAGAAAATGTGTGAAGTTGGTATTTTAGACCTCTCCATTCATAGTAGTTTTATGCATTCAGTTTAGTTTTAAATTTAGAGGGGTTTGTGTGTGCATGTGAGTGTGTGTATATGTGTGTGTGTACACATTGAGGCCAGAGGTTGACACTGGGTTGTCTTCCTCAATTGCTCTGCCTTTTTTTTTTAATTGAAAATACTTTTTAAATACAATATATTCTGATTATAGTTTTCTATCCCTCATCTCTCCCCAGATCCTCAACATCTCCCCACCCATCCATTTTTGAGACAGGGGTCATTATTTATCCTGGATCTTGTTCATTCACTTAGATTAGCTGGCCATGGAGCTCCAAGGAGCCTGTTTCTTTTTCTCTAGTGCAGGGATTATAGGTGTGCAGTGTGGGCACTAGGGTGTTGATGATGGAGGTTACTGATGGGCACTAGGGTGATGATGATGGTATGTTACTTCAAATTTAGAATTTTATCCTGCCTGTCCACCCATCCATCTATCCATCCATCCATCTTTAATTTATTGATTGTTTATATGTACAGGTGTGCACGTGCCATGATGTGTGTGGATGTCAGAGAACGACCCATGGGAGTCAGATCTTTCCCTCCATGTGGCCTTGGGGATCAAACTCAGGTCATCAGGCTTGGCAGCAAGCCCCTTTAAATGCCTGATCTATCGGATGTCTTTTCTGACATACTAGAATAGGCTCTGAGTTCAAATTCTGTCTGTTGTTTCCCCACATAGAAGGACTTGGAAATGTCCCTTCATCTCTGAGACTCCTGATTTCTTTATCTTGAAAGCTTATGAGGTGGTTTTGAGATGTGGATAGGGTTACCCAGCACCTGTCCTGCTCAGAGCAGACCCCCAAGGCTGCTGGGAAGGTGGTAAGAATGTAGACCTTGCTGCCAGGCTGCCTAGGTCATCCTAGCTCTCACGCTCAGGCTGTTACACAGCGTCTCTGCGCTGCAGTCACAGACTCCACAGGGACAATGAAGTGTGAAGCAGTGTGTCCGCCAAGGGCTGCCAGTTGGTACTTCTAAAAATTCCCTGTGTGGGGCAGGAAACCCTGACTGCCCTAAGGGACGAAGAGGGAGGAGGAGAGGGAGTGGGGGGAGTGGGAGGGTGTTGGGAAGAGGGGCGGAAATGGAAACTTTTATAATTTAATAAAATTTACTTTAAAAAAAAATTCCCTGTGTGCAGCTTTCCTGAAACTTGGCTTAGAATGAGGCTCTTTCTTTCTTTTAATGCTACAGATGATATTTCCCGAGTCAGACTTTCAGTGCAGACCCATTCGACGGATGACTACATCAATGCCAACTATGTGCCTGTAAGTGCTGGCTGCTCTGCCCGGTGACTCCTCTGAATCAGAGCATTTCTTTCTGTGTCTTGAATGATGACTGAGCTTTCTATTCTAGGGCTATCATTCCAAGAAAGATTTCATTGCCACACAAGGACCTTTACCCAACACTTTGAAAGATTTTTGGCGTATGGTTTGGGAGAAAAACATATATGCCATTGTTATGTTGACCAAATGTGTGGAACAAGGAAGGGTAAGTATCTTTTGAAAAAAATATATAAATTAATTATTGTTGTCGAGTGTATTTTAAAATCCATTTGTTTTTTAAAAGAACACTCTTCCCTTTGTTAACACCTTTGTTCTTAGAAAATATGTTCTGTATTTTTAGCTTTCAGAGAGGTTTTACAAAAGTCTTGAAAATACATTCTACAGTGTTCCCCTGTGAGCTCATATTAATGTCTGTGATTGTATCTGTGCTGGAGTTAGTGAGTGGATGGAACTGGGTTAGTGGACACGGTGGGCTTGGAACCAGGTATCCGAGACCATACAGCTTGGCTCCTGTAAAGCCTGCCTCCCCTGTCTCTAAGCAACCAGCTCCTAAATCTCTGATTCTCAAACTTAGTTTTTGACACATTAAACAAAATTTCAGACTTATGCCCGGGCAAGTCCCAGCAACCCTCTCTCTTCCTGTGTGGTCTAGAACCCTCCTGTTATTTCTGTCACAGATATGATCTCTTCTAGGGATAAAGTCTCATGTTTCCCTAAATAGAGATGAGTTGAAAAACATGCTAAATTAAAAAATTGTGTACCTGAAAAATGAAAATTAATGTTACTTCATGGAGGGTTATTAATTGCAATTCTGTTTAGTGTTGGGATTGCCCGGGGCCGTGGCTTCCCTCAGCACATGCTATGTGTTTAGTGTTGGGATTGCCCGGGGCCGTGGCCTCCCTCAGCACATGCTATGCTCTCTGTGCTCTGTGTTCTGTTTGTTTGTTTGTTTCTGAGACAGGGCTTTACTCTTAGCCCAGGCTGGACTTGAACTTCATTCTCCTAATGGCTGGAATAAGGTATTTTCTTTCTTTCTTTTCTTTCTTTCTTCCTTTTTCTTACTTCCTTTCTTTCTTTTTTTTAAATTAATTAATTAATTTATTTAAAATTTCCACCTCCTCCCATCCTCCCATTTCCCTCCCACTCCCCCCACTCCCTCTCCCCCTCGCTCTCCAGTCCTAAGAGAAGTCAGGGTGACCTGCCTTGTGGGAAGTCCAAGCCCCCCCTCCATCCTAGGAAGGTATGCATCCAAACAGACTAGGCTCCCAAAAAGCCAGTACATGCAGTAGAATCAAAATCTAGTGTCATTATCATTGGCTTCTCAGTCCGCCCTCATTGTCAGCCACATTTAGAGAGTTCGGTTTGATCTCATGCTCGTTCAGACCCAGTCCAGCTAGCCTTGGTGAGCTCCCATTACATCAGTTCCACATTCTCCGTAGGTGGACACACCCCTTGCGGTCCTGCCTTCCTTTCTTATATTCTCCTTCCTTCTGCTCTTCATCTGCACTTTGGGAGCTTGGTCCAGTGCTCCAATGTGGGTCTCTGTCTCTGTCTCCATCCCTTGCCAGATGAAGGTTCTATGGTGATATGCAAGATAATCCCTCCCTCCCTCCCTCCCTCCTTTCTTTCTTTCTTTCTTTCTTTCTTTCTTTCTTTCTTTCTTTCTTTCTTTCTTTCTTTCTTTCTTTTTCTTTCTTTCTTGTGGTTTCTTTTCTTGAGGAGTGAGAATTAGCACCTGAGTCATCTGCAGGGTGTTTCTCTCTCAGCCCTCCTTGTTGAGAGTGGAGTCTGACAGCTCAATGCTATGGCTGCTGGTGGCCAGGTGTTCAACGTGAATGGTGCTGTCCTAGGTGGTAACTGGAACTTGTTAGACATAATTCCTTAAAATTGATTCTTATTATGTTCTGTGTATGATGTGTATATGTGTGTTGGAGAGTGGACACGCCACAGCAAATATGTGGTCAAAGGTCACCACAGATTTGATCACATATGTGATGTTTCTGGAAATGAGATCTGAGTCCCAGATGCAGGCCTCCAGGCTTGTGCAGCAAGTGCTTTTTGCTGCTGAACCATCTCACAAACAGGATTCATTTTTCTTAAAGATTCATTTATATTATTTGGAATTATTGGTACAGGTGCAAATATGTGTTTGGGTCAAACAGAACCAGCTGAGGAACTAAACAGTCCCAATGTCAGCCTCATGACTTGCTCTTCCTCGTGAAACTTTGATGATGATGGGGGTGTGATTCCTGTGTTTTCATACAACCAATCCTGTGTTCTAGACCAAATGTGAAGAATACTGGCCTTCCAAGCAGGCTCAGGACTATGGGGACATAACTGTGGCAATGACCTCAGAGGTTGTTCTTCCGGAATGGACCGTCAGAGATTTCGTGGTAAAAAATGTAAGTCAAGATTGATCTGAGAAAATTATTGGATATGAATTTGGAAATGGTATATATGTTGAAAATAACTAATATTTGATGAATGAGAAAGTGTTTTTGCTTCTTCTTCTTTACAGAATTAAAATGCCCATAACAACATGCTCTCTGAGGAGCCCTAGCTTCATTATTTTGAGGGGACTTTTGTGTCTTTCCTGACTAAATGAGTCTTATGAGCATGGCTGTGTCAGTGATATGCTTTGGGGTGGGTGCTTGCTGCTAGGAATAGTTCTTACTAATTCCAAGGTTCAGATTCTGGGGCAAATGCACTGTCCTCCCTTCCCTCCAAAAGTTAAAAAAACAAATCCGCTTAAATCATAAGACATTCTAGGAACTGAATTTATTTTTCTTTTTTAAAGAGTGTTTGAAAGTAGAGAAAGTGCTCTGAGTCAACAAAGATATCTACTTTAGAGCTTAACATATTAGGGCTCTGAAAGTGTTCATCCCTTTTAATCTGATCGGCTCAAATTTGAGTCACTGACATAAAGAAATAACGTGAAATTCAGGCATGGACTCATTAGTTACAGATGAGCATTGTTTATTAGTTTACTAGTTATTATTATTGATTATTAGTCACAATCTCAGTATTGTTTATTTTTAGAATGTTATTTATAAGGAGTAGCTCCTTTAGGAAATGAGTAAGCTTTGTGTTTATTTTCATTTCTCTTGGGTATATGTCCAGTGTCTGCTATTTTATTATTACATGTTCTTTGATAATTTCATACATAGTTGCAGTACATTTAGATCATACCCACCTCATCAGCATTATTTGTGGTGGTTGAACAATTTGGAAACCACATACATAGCTTTTGGAGAATGGATAACTAAACTCTGATTTATGTGCATACTGTTAACACCATCCAGCTTTTAGAGATACTATATATGTAGGTGACATACAGCCAGGCTTTTACCCCTGCTGCTTTGTTCAGCTGTGAATTCAGCCAACCTGGGATTGAATAAACATAGTGTTTGTATTTAACATGTTCAATCAGGTCCATCATTCCCTAAGCCATACAGTATAATAACTATTTAAATTAAAATGTGCTAGGTAATACAGTTTAGAAATGATCTAAAGTATAGTCACATGTTGAATGGCAGGGGTGTATTCTAGGGAATGTGTCTGTGTGAACATCATGGACTGTACTTAACCCTGGATAGTATAGCCTACTATGCACTTAGGCTGTATAGTGTATATGACTGTGTGTGCAGGTTGCATACACACATGGTTGTATTACTTTGAGAACCTGAACATTCACAGACTTTCCTGGGATCAATCCACATGGATCCCGAGGAATGACTGTAATTACCATGAGGAGATGTGAAAAACTAGTGTCAGTGGTTCATACTAGGAGACAGTATTTTAAGACAGAGACAGAGTTTTAAGGTAGTGTCTTACTAGGTAGCCAAGGCTGGCCTTAAATTCATGAACCTCTGCCTCAATCTCAGTACTGGAAGTATAGGTTTATGTTGCCATACTTAGCTTGGGGCAACATATATATTAAAAGAATATATATATATATATACTTTTATATTTTTATTATGTGTATGTATACATACACATACACACGATGCATAAAAGAAATGCCTAGAAGTAGATTCAGTGGTGTTGTATTTTAACAGGGGCTGATATATTGGGTCCTAGTTTGTAGGAATGAACCTTAAAGATTCCTGAAGATATAGGTAAGGCAAAGTATATGAAATACTACTTCTTACTAGTTACTGATTCTCAAAGACTCTGGTCACAGGAATTATTTCAGGTCCTTCTTTGGAGATGTTGAGCACATAATAGCCTGACCACCTCAGTAAGTAAGGTCACAGTGAGTGAGGAACCTTTGAAGTATGTCGTGCTTGTTTCTGCAGCCTTTGCCCATTTAAGTTGACTGACGTATCTGTTATCCACATTTGCTTCTGCTTAGGGTTCACTGGGGAATTGTGCATAGAGTTGGCAAAAATGATTAAAGAAAATACTGTTGCTCTCATTGTGTTTATATCAAGGAAACTACAGATTCTAGAGATTTCATGCTTCCCACTGAAGTCTTTTCTTATTTTAGGACCCAGTACAGGCTTTCACATGGCATTTTCTACAATAGTGTTTTGTAATTTTGTGAAATGCATACATACATTTCCTTCTATATATGAGAGCATTACAGACAGAGCTCTGTTGTTTTGACTACCACCCCTAGTCTGAGTCCCTCGCCCCTGCCCCCTGCTCCTGCCCCTCTGCAGAACTGCTCCCAAGAACTTCTACTTTCCACTGTTTTTTGTATCTCCTCTCTTTCCTGCTCCTTGCAGCTGGTTTCTTTTCTCAGTAAACCCTTATGATAACATTTATGATGCTGGTTATCTGTGGTGAGGTTTCCCAGGGTCCTCTCCCCTATTTCTCAATCTTTGAATAATATAAATTTATTGATTTTATAATGAATGAACGTTAAAAATTAGCTTCAGTGATGGAGATGCCCAGTGCCCAGCTGTGGGGGACATATGTAAGGTCTGACAGACAAATGAGTATAGTTGAATCAAGGACAGGAAGGGACAGGACTGGCCCCAGAGGCAGATCTTTGATAATTCCAGGCACATGCTTGGTCTAAAGTAGAATACAAACTGGTGTAATTGTTAGATTTGTTAAAATACTGTCTCCTGCCTGCCAGATGTTGAAATGGCAGACTGTGAGTTTGTGTGTGTGTGTGTGTGTGTGTGTGTGTTCCTTTTGTAGACCCCTTTAGTTCTAAATATTTGCTCAGTGTTTCCTGGTTGTATTACACAGATTATCTGGAAAGCCCAGGATTTACCAGGTGTCTCTTGCCCAGCATGTGCTCACCTCCTGACCATACTTAGGGAAATGATTTTGGGATTTAAGGGAAATGTCATTTCCAAGTGGACTGAAGAATGGGGCTCATCCAGGAGGAGCATGTGTGTGGGTATGGGGCTCTTACTGACTGTTAGCTGAGAACAGAAGTGATATAAACTCAAAATTGAGCTGGATGTCTTTGCTCCATGTGGGGTGACTATCAGGGGCTCACCCCCATTTTTTCTGAACCTCCGCTGCATGTCTTTAGTGGGACATATGAGGCCCTTCCTTCCTGGCTGTGTTATGAAGATTTGGTAATGGGGATAACCAAATTGAAATTGGTTATTGGAACCATTCCTGCCTGGCTGCCTGTTGTTCTGCTTGTGTGATACAGTTCACCGGCACTGCTTGACTTCTCTCATTGTTGTGTATTGCTGGGTACCCTTACTGTCTAGATCTCTAACCCATTTTGTTGGCTTCTAGATGCAGACAAGTGAGAGTCATCCTATGCGACAGTTCCATTTCACCTCCTGGCCTGACCATGGTGTTCCTGACACCACTGACCTGCTCATCAACTTTCGTTACTTGGTCCGAGACTACATGAAGCAGATTCCTCCTGAATCACCAATCCTGGTGCACTGCAGGTATACCTAGTTGGCAGCTCATGTATGTGTGACAACTTAAAATGTAATGGTATTTATGAGCAACACCCCTCAAAGCAACACCCAAGAGGAAATGCGATAGATAGTTGGAAACTCAAGGATAGTCTGCAAGAGGGTACCAGGAACTTAGTCCCTGAGCCATGAGACTGTATGTAAAAAGGAGTTAGCAAGCTATATAGCCTGTGGGCCAGACAGGGTTAGCAACTTGTTTTTATATATAAAACCTCATTGGAACATAGTCATGCCCACTGATTTACATATCATTTGCATTGCTTTTATACTGCAGTGGCATGGTCTGCTGAGCTGAAGATATTTGCCATCTGGTCATTTACAGAAAGTGCACACAGTCCTACAATAGGGCTTCATAAATAAGTGTAACTTTTTGTCCTAGGCTTTAGGACCATTGAGTATCATGGAGTATGAGATGGTTTAGCAAGGTGTTTTGTTTGTGACATTTAACTCAAGTGAGTTCCCCAACTTGCTTGAAGATGCAGTTGAGCAACAAAGTTTGTGTTAGCTTCAAACAGTGATAATGGAGATTTGGGTACTGGTGGGAGAACTGAGAGATCCATGGTGAAGGCAACTGGTAATGATGACTCATGTCTCTGTTTTCTAGTGCTGGAGTCGGAAGGACGGGCACGTTCATTGCTATCGATCGTCTGATCTATCAGATAGAGAATGAGAACACCGTGGATGTGTATGGTATTGTCTATGATCTTCGGATGCACAGGCCTCTGATGGTACAGACAGAGGTGAGGCCCCATCTGCAGTCTCTGAAACATCAAATGGAGTCACATGTTGGGCTTGAAGCATTGGACTTTTCTAGATATTTTTGACTCTTGGTTGTATATTTCTTTGCAGGTTCTAATCTAAATTGTAATTAAATCACCTGACACAGTAGCACCAGTGGGAGCACA